GGATGCATACCAGTCTGATCTCGTCTGGTCGGCAGCTGGTGCACGGTCCGCCCAGAGACATACATTCACGCTTTGAGCACCGAAATAGGACAAAACACGCATACGCTTCTGCCATCCTGCACCGCACAGGACGCCATTCCCATGCAAAACACGATCCAACGTCGATTTTCTCTTGGGTATCTGTCCGTATCGACAGGCTCTATCAACAATAGCGAGTATAAACAAGCAATTGGCGAAGTAGAGACGTGTGATGCCACCTGCGTATGCGTGTCTTGTCGCTATCGGCCCTGGCGACACCCACAATCAACGTCACTTTGCCATTGCGACGATGACGGGCTTTTGGAATTACCTCTTTGACGACGACCTCGACCTCGGACCGTTCGTCGACGCGGCTGGTCGCCCGGCGACCTTGGCCGACCTCAACAAAATCGTGCTCGTGCTCTTCTCCGCCTACTGGTGCCCGCCGTGCCGGGCGTTTACGCCGTCGGTCCTCCAGTTTCTCCAAGCCCATCCGAGCGAGGTCTCAGTTATTTACTTTGGCCGCGACCACAACGCCAAGATGCAGCGATTCTACAACCGGCACAAACCGTACTACCGCTTCGAGTGGCGCGAGGCCAACGCGGCGGCGTTCCAGGCCATCAAGGCCGCGTACCCGTCGATCCAAGGCATCCCGACAGCCTTTGCCGTCGAGCGCGACTCGGGCATGGTCTTCTCAGAGCGCGCCCGCATCGGCGTGCTCCTCCAGCCCGATACGATCCTGAGCCTCTGGCGCGCCGGCGACGACATTTCCGAAGCCGACGAAGAGGCCTACTGGCTGCGCGACGAGCCGGTGGCCGACGAGGTCGAGACGGTGGACGTGATCTCGCACCTTCCGCTCGAAACGCTCGTGACAGCAAACGGCGATCACATTGCGTACGACGACCTCCACGCCTTTGTGCTGCTCTACTTTAGCGCGAGCTGGGCAGCGAGCGACGAGCTCACGCGCTCGATCGACGACTTTGCTATTGCCAATGCCGACGACGTCTCGGTCGTCTACTTTAGTTTGGACGACGAGCCAAGTAGCGACGAGCCGATCAAGGACACGTCATTCCACCGGTTCACGCACAGCAGCAACTTGGCCGAGACAGCCGACGCGATCGACAAGGCCCTCTCGGCGCACGACGCCTACAACACGCTGGGCGCCCCGCGACTGCTCGTGATCGAGAAAGCGTCGCGTACGATCGTGGCCACGAACCATTATGGTCTCGTGATCAAGCCCGATGACGTCGTGTCGGCGTGGAAGGCTGGGGACGCCGGTGTGACCGAGGACGAAGTGGACGCGTATTTTGAGCAGCGGTAGTCGAGAAGGTCGAATGTGTTTTGTACAAATATGGAGTGGATTTTGTAGCAGTACACGTGGACGATTTGTTTGTTTTTGAGTGCACTGCTCAGGTTCTTATTTCGATTGAAATTGTGATCTTATTGTAGACAGTGTCAATCGACGTCGAATTTCGCGATAGGGTCGTTATAGCACATTATAACTTTCTAGTACCTCTTCATGTGGTACTTTTTATTGCCAAGTCATGCAGATATTGTTTTTGACGGGACCTCTGTCAAATCATATCATTCGCATTTGCGGTTTTAGTTTTCGACGACAGACAAGTTGGTGTCGACTGTACTCTAGAAACGTGAGCTACGGTTTCGTGTGCTCATAATCTCATAATACTTATGTACGTTACATTCATAATTACACAAAAGACTTCGCATACGTAGCGCTACGCCTGAATGCGTGGGAGTTGGCACTAGTGCTGGGTCGTTGGGAGCGAGCTGCGTACGGAGAGATCCATCCCGTGGTGGAACACACTCGCCGAGTTATAGCTCGCGCGAGGTCGTACGCAGGCTCCTGTACTCGGACCACTCTACAGGGGAGTGTTTCAAACGAAACCGTCCGAGCCCGCATCCGAATATATCCGGATGCCGACCGAGCACATAGAACCGACGCCGCACGCGGCGCGGCCGGACGACTGGTGGCGGCGGCGGAGGGCCGGGAGGCGACGGGACTTCGTGGAGGCAGGGCGACCGCGCCCGCGGGGCGAAAGCACGGGAGGGCCGGCGTCATCTCATCTCCTTGACGGCCGCCGGGGAGCTCGACCAGCAAGGGGATAACTATAATAGGTTATTCCCTTGGCTGCCAGCGACCGGCACTTAAACGGCAAAGGACGTAAGACACAGGGCGCACAGCACGATCGTGATGGTCGACGTTGCGTTGCAGTGAGGACGCCAACGGTCGTTGCCACCTAACCCTTCCGCGATTGAAACGGAAAACTCGACTTTTGACGTCGGTTGACGGTTTTCACGGCGGGTTTTGACGTGGCTTGAGTGCAAGAATGATCAGCAGAACCTTGACCAATCACATGGCGCGTCCTATTAATAGACACACACAGTGACGTTTAGTATGTGGACCAGAGACATGCCCAATATGACGTTACGATGGCGCATGCGGTCCAAATGGAACATTTCTGTAGACCAAAAGGGCTCGCCGCGTGTCAACCCAAGGGCATTTATTACCATTAATGTGCGACGTGAAAACAAGTTTAGTAACATCTACGGCGGTGGTTGTGTCGAATGCCAACGTACCGACTTTGTACTGCAATCAAAGGGCCGCAGCTGCGTCATAAGGCACCTACTAGTACCTTGTAATTTGAGGTAGTCGCATAATCGTACCCAAGTGAGATCTCGGTGTCGTCGCTCCTGGACGACAGCTGCAGAAGGAGTGCGTTTGCTCGTACAGTGTACGGCGTCAACCTTGAGAGTACATGATGCGCCGAGGAAGGCGTCGATACGTCCATGTTAACCCACGGTGCCACTCTGCTGGTCTCTCCGCTCCCGAATCTTTGTCAAATGGCTACGGTGGCCAGACAGACGCCGTTCGACGTCAGCACATCGTCCCACGAGACAAAGACCACCCACCCGAGTGGCGTGCGAGCGCCAATGAATACGCAATATGTGCTGGCGTACGCCTTGGCAGCCAAGGTCTGTCGTGCCTCAAGAAGCCGCGCCGATCAACCAACGCTTCGTTCGACAAGTAGCATCGACCACGTTAAATCGAAGATGATGCTTCTGAAGATTCCACGGACGCGGCGATCGAGCACCAGTTGCTTTGCCGACTTTGGACTTCGATGAGGTTCGGCATCCAAGCTTTGTGGGTGGCGTCTTAGTGGACACGTATACGATTGAACTATTGCGATCGGTGGGCATCGTCCCACGTTTCAAGCAAGCACCCACGGACGTCGTCCAAAACCGCGGGAACCAGACACCGGCCTTTCTATTTGAGCTACCTAACGCTGCCGCTTCCATGAACGACGACGACGCGCCATGCAACAGTGCCAAAGTCGTGCCGAAAAGGCGGTCATCCAGCTGCGTCGAGTGGCGTATGTGTACCTCGAATCTGATCGGGTCGCCCGTGATCTAGTCCGACAACCGCCGCCAATGCAAAATTTATCGTATTAAAATAGCGTAATATATAAGCATAATTAGAGGATGAGTACGTGATCTACTCGCCTTCGACGTAGCCCTTCATCTCGCTGATCAAAAAGTCGAGTGACTCTTCGACCGAGAGCTCGTTTCCGGTGGCAGTGTGGCGCATGTTGAGACACAGAAAGCCGTCCGCGGGCTCGATATCAAAAGGAATCGGATGCAGCACTTGGATGCCGAGCGTGTCGGCATGCTTGGTGCGCTGCGTGCGACTCGACGGGTACCCGTCTAAGCCGTCGCTGTCGCTGCTCGAGTGCCCGTCGTCGTTCTCGAGCTTGGACTGGAGCTCGCGGATCCGCCGGTAGAGCTTTTCTTTGCATTTCTGCATGTGCGCCTGGGCCTGCTTGGCGTTGCGCGTGCCAATCATGGCGGCGACATCCTTCCAAGGTCCTTCCGGGTACAGGCGTAGCGCCATGAGGAAGCGTTCGTGCTCGAGCGCGGTCCAAAGGCCTTGGGCGACTTGGCTGCTGGTGTCGTGCATAGTACGCGTCTGCACTTGGTTGCAAATTTGGAAATACGAAAGGCGGCGTCTGATGTGTAAGCCAGAGTGGGATCATTGAAGGCCTTCTCTGCTACTCTCGCCAACCGCCTGTGCCAGATACCAGGGTCTGATTCTCGCCGAGCGAGAAATGGGCTTACTTGCTGGTCGCGCCCGTCGTCAATGCCCTCGCTGTTGCTGCTTCTGTCACCCACGTTCGAACGTCGTAGGCTCCGCACCGTACCGGTTCACCAACTGCAGACGAGGCCATCTAGCTATCAGAGTGATTGTCCACGTCCAGCGAAATCGTAAAAGGTGGTGCTGCTGGTCATTTCTTCTTCATCTTTTTCTCGGATTGCTTGCTGTTTTAGTATGTTTGTTTTCGGTCCTATTCCAATGGCGAATGGCGCCAATATTTCCTCCTAGTACTATTTTTTGTATGAATATATTCCCAGATATAAATTAATTCGTGTCCTGAGCTGCGAGGCACGACCACGACGCACATACAGATGTACCGTCTAAAACGCGCCTGTGGCTTTGGTGGCGACGACCCTTGGCGTGGACGTGTGCGATCGGTTGAGGGATCGACACTCGACATCCGCCTTCATTTTCGACGAGCCAGGGGTTGAAAGGCGTGTCGCGACCGTTGACTACCATAAACCGATCAGTCTTTCGGTGCCAAGCAAGCATTCTTTGGTTGAAGATCCTTGCATATACCTATTATCACCGGGAAGGACAATGCTAATATTTCGAGTAGCTTGGATCATTTCGTTTCGCATCGACCACAACCCGCATTCCTGCCATCGACATGTTTGAGTGTGTCGCTGGCAGCTCCACCGAAGAAGAGCCTTGGTGATTATTCAAGATTCGCTCACACTTCAGGATAAATTATGGATAGCTACTCCTTCGACGCAAGACGACGGAAAACGAGCCGCGTGGTTGCTGCAACTGTGGCGCCACATGGCCTTTCCCACATATGGTGCTTGTGTTTTGGACGGAACAGGTCTCGGTTGAGCGATTCATCCCACTACGCACGACCGTGTCTCTTGCGCTTCAGATGAGCAACAACTCGGATGACTATTGGAATATCGTGCATTTGAAAGAGAAACGGTTAGTAGTACCAACGCTTGAAGCGTTTACGAGCGCGCTATCACACAAGTGCAAAGTGGGTTCCAGTTCCCACCTTGCGATCCTGATATATTTAACGCGTTAAACCCACATGCGGGCGTTAAAACGGGGTAAAATCGCGGCAAGCGTGCAGCTGCGTGTCCAACGACGTCGTCGTACCGGCGCACACCCAAGCGAAAAGAGTGCGGGGCACGAGTCGGCGCGTCGTCGCAACTGCGGCCACATCTCCGCCTGGACCGAATTTTGAATATCATTTTCACCCCATTGAGATGCTACTGTACGTCTCGAATCCCGCCAATTTTCATGGCGTAACTGGGTCTTTTCGGCAAACTCTGCCCGTTCGCGCCTATCGGTTCTCGTTCTCTGTGTGACCATGTGTGGCCGTCGAGGAATCAGGTAGACGAAGCCGTAACCGATACGCCAAGCGTTTCATCGAACCAGCCAGTTAGTTATCACAAGAATCGTTGATGCAGCGATATGTTCGATCACCCACCACGTCGCTCCGAGGTTGTGGTAAAAGGCGCGAGTAGCAAGCAGCTATGCGGCGCATCGACGGCCTCGTATGTGGGCGCCGAGATAAGGTCTATCGCACCTGGAAAGTCACTGATTTGTCAAACCCGGATCCGAAACGCTTGCACGGAAACATGATCTTTTTCATCAACAATCTTCCAGAATGCAAATATCGCCCACGATTCACATTCTGGTATACCTCTGTCGACGGTGCGGCTCGTACGACGACGATATCAGACGACGCCGGAGACGAGGTTTGGACCAGATCCCATCACAGTATTGGTGTAGTCATCACGTGCTGTTACGTGCGATTGACCGCTTGTTGGTGTGTACATAACACTGTTGTGCTGGGCTGCACCGGTGCTTTCTGTTCGATGCTTTTTGATGCTATTATTCGAGGCGGCAACGGCGCTACGACTTTGCTGCGAGGTGACGCATCAGCGGTGACGGTCGTTTGGCCGCCGACGATTTGATCGTCGTGCCTCGTACCTGCGTTCAGAGAGTGGCGCGATTGCTTTGACTTGAGCTTACTTGTTGATAAGTGTTTGGTATCAACTGATTTGCGAGCTCAGAACCACGCACAACAGTGAGATGTATCTGGGTGGATCGTCCCGCCTTCATCAAGAGCTGCGTTTCGCCGATCCCTGCTTGTACTTCAAAAACCACTCGCACATTTGCCTCGTTAGTATAGTTGGGGTTTTCACTCGGCGGGCCCAAGTCCATGTTGTCTCTACGAGAGTGCTCGTTCTTATGCTACCCCGTGGAGTTGCTGTTGGATCCTGGCGCCATGGTCACGTTTTGTAGCGAGGCTTTTCCCAGTACGTTATGCGATATCGTATCGAACGAGGGTTGGTGAAGGCGACGCGTAGCGCGCTATTCAATGTCGTCCTTTTGATACAGCTATTGCTATCTAACATCGCGGTTCAGGGTTAGAGCTAACCGAGTTATACATGGTTACATGGCACTGGCTCAGCCCGCGTGGCACCTTCAGGTGGCACCACGTCATGCGTTACCACATGTGATTTTAATAATGGCACTCCAACAGAGGTGACTCGGCTTCTGCCCGGTCCTTGGTCCCTTCAGGCATCCACTAAGGTTAAATTGTGTCTAGAGGCGATAGCTCTGTCTCTACACCAACTACACCACCAGACTACTAGTAAGCTTTCATATTTGGCGCCATGGTGATTCGGTTGCCTTCACTGTGCCGCGACATGCGATTGGCTCCTCTGCCGACATTACCGTCTGGCTTTGGATTGGCGCAAAAGATTGGAATTCAGCGGCCATCTCGGTGTTTTATTGGCTGGACGTCATCCGTGTCTCTGATTGGGCCAATCGTTACGAACGATTACCTTTCTTTTTTCCAGCAGTCGCCTGGCATGGCCGCACCGCCTCGGAGCTCGCCGTCGACCTCGACGCTGCGCGTGCGTGTCATTGGCCACGAGCGCAACATCGACCCGCTCACCAAGAGCCCGATCATCGTACGTTCTGGCGTCGCAGCTAGCACTGCACTCATGGCGAGTAGCTCTACCGCTCCATCGTCAAGTACAACGGCCAGACCTTTGAGCGCGCACTGCGCTTTAGCCGCTTCTACAACTTTCATATCAACGTACGTCGCCTCCACGAGGCTTGTCCTAGCATGCTCCGCCAACTGTAGCTCAAGCCCGACGAGCAGAAGACCATCAGCGCCAAGTTTCCACCCCGCCACCCGTTCCGCACCGACCTCACCGAGAAGATGATCCTCAAACGCGAGCACATGGTAGACGGCAGCATGCCTATGCTATGATTGACACGGCATGCTTAGCTTGCCGAGTACATGGCCGGCGTCTCGGCGCTGCCGCTGACCACACACATGGAAGCAGCGCTCTTGCGCCTCCTAGAGATCCGCAAAAGCCAGACCACAAGCAGCGCCCCCGTGTCCGAGACGATGTCAACTGGCAGCGCGTACGAGCCCGTGCACCGCATCTTCACCAACGTCAACCGGTTCGACCACGGTTCGTTTTGCTCGTCACGGTCATCGCTCCAGCAGTCGCTTTCAGACGTACAGTCGTCTGCGTCGTGGCAGCACCGCCCGTCCGCGTCTCTCTCGGACGCCGGTTCACTCGACCGCACTGCGTCCGAGGTGGCGTCGTCGCGTGGCCCATTGGCGGGCGACACCGCGCTGCTGCCGCTGATCCCACTGAGTGTGGCTACTTCGATTGACGAGGTCTTCGTCGATGAAGAGGCGGACGATTCTCTGTTTGAAGAAGCCATGTCCGAGCCGGTGTTGCCACTAGCATCTGAGATTGGTGAAGCTGCGCTGCGCCAGCGCGAGAAAGTGCAATCAATGCTACTTCCAGCTGCGTCCGTTGCCGTCTTAGGCGAAGAAGAAGAGAACGAGAGCTCTCAAGACACGAGCATGGACGCCAGCTTGTACCCAAACGCGATCCAGCAGCACCTGTGCGTCATTCAGTCCATCTTGCGTACGAACCAAGTCGGGCGATGAGGCGGCGACGTCACGAATTCAACAAAATCTTAAATGCAAGCGTAGAGTTGATGGTCCTTTGCCAGCTGACAGAATCTTGGACGTACCGCCGCTGTGCAGCTACTTTTGCAAAGCAAGATCAGGACGGCAACTGCGCGCGAATGTGAAGGTGGGCGCCACTCTCGCGTCCTATCCTCGTCGCGACAGGCGGAAACCGGAGATGCAACTGGGTTCTGCAGCCTCAACTGGTCGGGTGAAGAGGGTTTGCATCGACGAGACGAGATTTAGTAACGAGTATATCAAGTCGAGGCGAGTCGCCAGCTGAAGTTAGCGGTCGGAGGCTCAGCGTCGAGCGCGGCGACCCGGGTACTCGGTTTTTTGAAACCTCGCGTGACCGACACGCGAAAAGCGAGGGTCAACAGCAGCAGCTCTAGTCTGTGCACAAGGTCAGCTGCGAATGAGAGCCGCACGTACACCACTCGTAGTTGCTTCGTGTTTGCGTGAGAGAAGCGCGTCCATACAAGCTGCGAGGGCATTCCGTTGGTATCGCAGCGGCTGTGATGATCAGCTGCCGTCGATCGACAGCCTATCAGCCACTCCTCGTGAGCATCTGAGGAGCTCTGTGGAGGTCCAGCAGAACGCGCATAGCATTATCGCTTTGCGAGGGATTGCATTCAAGTATCCTCGATCCAACTTGGTGCTATCCAACGCAGCTATCCAACACCTATCCAACGACTCGACAGGATTGCGAACTCGTGCAATCGGTGGGCGGCGACAGCTGTCGTCAACGCGTCCATAGCGGACGATATCCGGAGGAAACACCTGGCATTGTTGGCATTGAGCGATGGCTGCGGTGGTCCTGCACTCTGGCTCTTGGATGCTGGTCTTTGGACCTGTGTGTGGCGTGTGCAGAGTGTTCTGGCGTCCTGTGTGACCTCTCGAGCGCGACTGATACCAGCCAGCCGCTTGCTGTCTCAAACCGAGCGCGCTCTAGGATACGGTTCACACCTTTGTTCCTCTTTCAACGATTACCAACGGCGAGCCGAAAGCACCAACCGACCGGTTGGGCTCGATCCCAGCATCTCAAACTGAATATGAATCATTATCTCAGTAGCTTTACTCGTGGGGCAATGCCACCAGCGCTTCTTTGGCATGGATATCGATGGGTGCAAGCACTGTGAACCACTCTCTCGCGGCCGCCACGTTGCGCGTGATGCCGATGCCGTCCCGAAGCATCACCGCCACGTTCATCATGGCCAGTGCATGGCCCTTCATGGCCGCTTGCTGGAAGAGCTGGTACGCGACGACCTCGTTCTTCTCAATGTCAATGTCGCTAGCGCCTTCCAAGTAGACGCAGCCCATGTTGAACATGGCGTTGGGCACACCAGCGGCCGCGGCCTCCTGACGCAGGGCGACGCCGAGCGTGCGGTTCACGGGCAACTCGTGGAGGCCGTTGTAGTGCCAGTCGCCGAGAAGCGACTTGGCGTGCATGTCGCCCGACTCGGCTGCCTTTTGGTACCACTTGAGGGCTTCGGGGACGTTCTACGATCCATATTTGTAAAACATGGGCGAAAATACAGGAAAATTGAGGAAAAATACCTTGTCGACGCCGTCGCCGGTGATGTACAGGTTGGCCACGGCCATGTACGCGGGCGGCAAATTGGACTGGGCGCAGAGGAGGTAGAGCTCAAACGCTTTCGCCACCTGCTTCTTGGTGCCGTCGCCGGTCCGCAGCGCCTCGGCGTACGCAAAGGTGCCCCACGGATGCCGGGCGTCCGCGAGCTGCTTGAAGTGCTTGGTCGCAGAGATCACGTCCGGCTTGGGAAAGCCCTGGCCTTGCTTGAGAAGGCGCGCGTAGCTAAACTTGGCGTTGTGGTCGCCGGCCTCCATGGCTGCGACCCAGAGCAGCTTGATTTTCTCGAGCTCGGCCGGGTGCGACTCGACTTCGCCGTTCTCCAAGATGGCCTGGCCCATGCGATAGAGCTGGCTTGGCGACGCCGTCTTGGTCGACAGCATCGACGCGACAGTGGACGGCGTGAGCATCTAATACGCGGCAGCGTCAGACGCATCTCAAGTGGTGGGCTCGTACGCGGCTCGAGCCGTCGCGGCCCATCTCGCGCAGCGTAGCCACGACTGCGCCAATGTCCTAGGAGGTCCATGAGGCCATGCAGTCGCGTGACGACGTACAGCATCGATGGCGGCCGCAGACCGCGCGGGTCGTCCGAGGAGGCGGCGCAACATCGTCGCCCGCCAGTGCAAAGTGTTTTAAACGTTTCATATGGTGTGTGGAATACCACTGTTGTAAACGTGTTTAAAACAGCGCGTGCATCATCATTTCCGACGACCAGAGGAATCTTCCTCGGTGATGGTCGGCGCATGGTCCAACGAACGTGGCACGGTTGCAGTTGCAGGCAATCCCAAGCAGCGACCGAGCCTGCCTGTCCGACGGCCGTTGGACGGGTCCTTGCATTGGATCAGCCACTTGAGCATCAACCCGCCTGTCTGGCCCACGCCCCGAGTAAGCTTATGGCGCTCAGACAGATACGGGCGTAGGCTGAGCAGGCGCCGCTGTCGCCTCGACCACAACCGCGTAGCTCAACCGCGCGAATCCCGGGATACTTGACTCGGTTCATTGCGAACTGTTTAAAACACATTGGTTGCCAGCAAGTCCATGGATGCGCTCGGATTGGCCGAATATGCGCCAATCAGAGCTGACAATTATTAATTAACTTTAATTCGTGTGCTATCACTAGGTTGTTGTATGTGGAATAAAACATATATTAAAATAGTAGCGATTTGGTGGCCCTCCAAATCACTTGCTGTTTGTATACTGCGGTCGTGATTTGATTCTAATGCGAAAAGATATCCTCGGCGATTGCGCAACAGAGCTCAAGTGGGGATAAGACGCGGACGACGAGAATGGCCAGCCCACGCCTGCAGCCTGCGCCGCTCACCGCCGCCGTCTCGCCCAAGGACAAGGACGTGCTCACGAGCTTCTTCCTCGCTGCGACTGCAGCCTCGTGCGCCAGCGTCCTCACCAACCCGCTCGAAGGTACAGCGCCGATATGCCACCACCACGCATCATGGCATGCGCCACGTAGTTGTCAAGACACGCATGCAGCTGCAGAACGAGCTCGTCGAGGCGAGCTCCAAAGCCGTCGAGCGCGTGTACAAGAACCCGTTCCAGGCGCTGTACGTCATTGGCCGTCAAGAAGGCGTGCGCGGCCTCCAGTCGGGCCTTGGCATGACCATCGCGTACCAGGTACGACATGGCCTTCGCCTGCTTCCACCTCGCGCTCACGGAATGCTAGTTTATGATTGCAGGCACGCGCTTTGGCTTGCACGACCCGGCCAAGCGACTCGTTGGCGCCGAGAAGGGGGCAGATTGGTACTGGACGCGAACGTACGTGGCCGGCGTCCTCTCGGGCGCCGCGTCGTCGTTCACGGGCAACCCGTTCTACTTGGTGCGTGCGCGGCTGCAAGCGTCCAACTCGGGTGCGGTGACGCGCGGCCGCCACCAGTACGCGTCGGCGCTCGAGGGCTTCAAGGCCGTGCTCGCAACCGACGGCCTACGAGGCTTCTTCCGCGGCATTGGCGGCGCCGTGCCGCGTGTGAGCTTTGGCTCAGCGACGCAGCTCACGTGCTACGAGTACTTCAAGGGCCTGCTTTTGTCGCAGCCGATCCCGTCGACGTACGTCTTCCACGACCAGACCGTCGCGCTGCACTTCTCGGCGTCCATTTTGACGGGCTTCTTCTGCGTGACGGCCATGAACCCGTTCGATGTGATTTCCGTACGTCTCTACAACCAGCCGCTCGACGCTAGTGGGAAAGGTCTTCTCTACGACGGACCCATCGACTGCGCTCAAAAGACGCTGGCCAAAGAAGGCATCAAAGGCGCGTTCAAGGGCTGGACCGTCCAGTACCTCCGGCTCGGGCCCCACACAGTGTTTACCTTTTTGTTTTGGGAGCAGCTCAAGCAAGCGTACGATCGCTTCACGCACGAATAGAAGACGAATTTTGTGTTTCGATTGGCGCTATAAGTTGTTTTGGGTAGTCGTGCAGATTGCCGAGTGCTGGCTTTTGACCAGAACCCGACGAGACATGGGATTCCAGCGTGATACCATTCGCTGGAAGGTACGAGTTGGCCAGTGCGATCGAGCTCACATCGACTGTGCGAAAAGCGCGCTCTTGCCGAGCAGCCACTCGAGAGTGTCGTAAATTTGGTCGTGCAAACTCAAAGTGAACATCAACCCTAACCCTACAAGTCGCAAAGACCACTGAAAGAGCCATCAATGTTAACAAATTACACAAGAACCATCTATATGATGGTACGGATTGTGGTACTGCGTAGGTAGACGCGTTTTACGAGATAGTAAAAGGACTATAGAGCATGCACGCGTTCTTGTGCATGTCGCAGGCCATGCCATAAGTCGCCGCCGCCGCGTGAAGGTCGGCATGTTTGATGGTATCAATGACGACGCGCACAAAGGAGCACGTTGCGAGAGCTTTAAGCAGCCAGCGGACGCCACCGATGGTCACTTCGTTGTCTTTGAGGTGGAGCGTCACGGGTAGCGGATTTCGACTTTGGCGCAGCATCCGCGCCAGAGTCGCCGCCCTCGCGTCGTCGAGACCCGTCCCGATCAAGCTCGCCAGCGTGAGACCGTTGTAGATCAAGCGACGGAGCACCAAACTCACGTCCGCCACGTGATCGTAGACGATGTCGCAGTGGTCCAACTTGAGCTTGCGGAGGCCTTGGACGCGCTCGAGGTACTTTAGCAGAGCACCGAACGCCTTCGATGTCCAGTTGACTACGCTCAATTCGATGCTTTCGAGGTGCGGCCATCGCGACGCGTCGAGATCACAGACCTTGCCAAAATCCAACAAGAGATGACGAAGCGCCGTCATGCGCGGCACGAGCGTGAGGACGTCCGTATAGTCAGTAGCCATGCAATTGAGGGCGAGCGATGTGAGCTTGGTTACATTTAGAAGCTGCAAGACAGGTCGGATGCGGTCATGCCGTTGTGTCCAGAGGTACACCGAGGTCAGCTGGTGCAATGGCATCTGCAGCGTCAAGAAGGCACCGACCAAATCGTCATTGTTGAGGATGTCCAAGCCAGTCAGCGACGACGTGGTCGCAAGGGCCCGTGCGAGTCCCTCCATATCGGTGGTTCGGGTGTTGTCGAATGCGAGATGCCGCGCGTAACCACTCGAGAGCCATGGTCGCAGCAGCGACGTCCAGTCCATGGTAGTAGCACGCTGGTAGAAAACACTCAGCTTTTTCAATCGATGGGCCGGCGTCGTCACGGCGGTGAGCATCTCGACCACATCTTTGTCTTCATTCGAAATGTCGATGGATCGGAGGCGCGTGCAGCGACGCAGCAAGCGGCACAGATTCGTGCTGTCGATGTTGCGCGGCCATAGTGTGTCGATGTGCGTCACCGTGAGTGGCCACGACGAGACAAAGTCGACAAACGACATGGCTCCGTCGCAAGTCGCCCAAACATTGCTGTCGGGCTCTGGTTCCAGCGCGGATAATAGAGCAGGTAGCGCCTCAAGCGCAAGTGCCGCAGATTCGCTATGGAGGTCGTCGAGGCTGAGGTGCGGCCACGTGTATGCAAACGGGCCTGACTGCGTCAGCAGCGCCTTGGTCGCCGCCAGCGGCGCATGCAGCGACGCCGGTGGCAGCGTCATAAGAAAGGCGATGGCATCGCGAGGCGAGCTCAAGCACTGGACGATCGAGATCAGGACGTGCGGAAGGCCAAGCATCGTCGCGGCCTCGGGACAGGTGCGCTTGGTGGACATGCCTGCTCGAGTCGAATGCTGTGATGTGGGGTTTCTCTGGCGCGGATCGGTTTCAGCAAAGAAATAGTATGCTATTTCGAGTGAGGCTAGTCGCACGCAACCGCCATGACGTGGCAACGGGTGGTGCTCTCGATGCAATCGCCATGATGGGCCAGAGGTGGGTAGGGTGCAGTGGTATATATGCTGGCCTGCCATCGAACCCCGGCAAAAGCGTCCCTTTGCAGTGGTAGTGCTGTCGCCGGTATCGTGATGCGGTGTGGCTAAAACAGCTAAAATCTGTTGGGACCGTGGGATTGGACAAAAGCACATCATCGAGCTCCAGAATGATTGGTCGGAATTGTCATTTCTATTTGGTTATCGCCAAAGTGGGATGGCAACAGCCGCGCTCGGCCTCCCATGCATTCTTACCTCGATCGTCCAGTGCTTGCAGCTGCCTCGTGACGCTCTCGCCTTCCTCATGGCGCTGCCACGTACCTCGCTGGACACGCCACTGGCGGCGGTGCTGGTGCTGCTGACGCAACCCGGGCCGTTCGCCCACATGTGGCCTACGCTCAACCTCGACGACTTTGACTGGCGCGACGCAGCGTTGGCTCGCGCTGCACTCCCAGTGCTCGTCTCGGTGCACGCATTCGAACCTGCGCTCTTCCGGCACCTCGCGCCTCGGGGCGCGAGGCAGGGCAAGCTTTCTGGGGCAATGGCCGCTCAAGATGCGATACATCGACACCGAGTGGCAGCATGTCATTGGCCGCGGGACCTTTTGCGATTTCCTGCGTCGCTGCACGCGCCTCCAGAACGTCGAGTTTGACGCGTGCGTACGCGGCAGACGTTCTCGCCGCCATCACGACGCCGGCCCACCGCGTGCACCAACTCGGGATCGTTCCCGGCACCTCGACAGTGATGAACTAGATGACGCTCTTGCGACCATGGCTCTGCAGCGGGTATGCCCGACGCATCGAGTTCCTAGGCGTCCCCACCACGGACGTGCGTGGCCTCGCGCGGCTGCTCGCGACCACGGCATCGCTGCAAGGCCTGTGGATTGACAACGCTCTCCTCGACACCTTTGTCGCTCTTCAGCTGCCACTGCATCAGCTGACAGAGATCCATCTGCACTGCTCGGTGCCAGAGACCATTCGTCCCTCCTGGTGCTCTTAGACCTGACGAAGCTCGTGTCTCTGAAGCTCTGCTGCGACGCGGACGTCTCGCATCTCTTTGGCCTTTTGAAATGCATGCCAGCCCTGCGTCATCTCTCGTCTACGGCGGGGGACCTCGGGGATACGCTAACTGACACGTCGCAGTGGCCGCACCTCGAGACGTTTGGCTTGCACGTCTGCGTCTTGACACCAAGAGCGTTCGATGCCGTGCTGTCGTATCTCGGCCGCGTCAACGGTCTCCAGCAGCTCACACTGAGCTGCATTGAACTGCAGGGCGGCCGGTTTGCTGCCATTAGTCGCTGCCTCGAGCGACTAATTGCGAATGGACTGACTCAAGTGAGCTTTTACAACACGGCCCTCGGCGACGCGAGCGCTGCTTGCATCGCGGATGTGCTCTACCAGAGCCGCAATGCGTCGCCACTAGTCTGGAACGTCGAAGACAACTGCTTTACCTTCCACGGGATCTATACGCTGCTGTAAGCGCTCGCGACCTGCTCGTACGTGAGCCTCAAGATCGGACCGAGCAACGTGCTCCGGGCCTTCGACGATGACATTGACGATTTCCTGGAGGCCCATGGCATGACGGGCAGCTTGGACGCCGAGCCCTACATGCTCTGTAGCCCGACACAGATCACGTCATAAAATGAAATGAACTCGTAACTTTTTTTTTCGACGTTGCTCGACCGTGGTGACGTGCCACGCGTCGTCACAACTGACGTACAAGAAGACCAAGGATATACATCCCTTGGGTAAGTAGTCCTTTGGGTACAGGTTGCTCGAGTAATTTTGAAGTCATTGTTGGTATGCCGGTTGCCTGGTGGCTAGAAAGGCGAGTGCAAGCTCGCATGCTCCATCACAGCCGACTATTGTGGGATGCTGGAGAAGGACACCATACATGTATCTTCTACTCCACACTGAGCTCGTATTGTTACGTCCTTGACTTCCTTTAAACCAGCATCGACGAGTCCTCGATGCTTGTTTCGTCCTTGTCGAGGACCAGGTCGCACGAGGATTAGGGTTACGTACGAGCCCTCACCCTACCAAGAACTAGGGGCCTAGGAGCGTTAATCAGAGCAGTTGCAGCAAACAGGTAGACGCTAGGATATCATTCGAGTGTATCCTGAAAGGAACGCTTACGTGGTGTATTAGCATCCCAGGGGATTCATTCGTATTTTCTGGACAACCCATTGGCTATATATATCGAGCCATTTTGACCAATGTCAACGTTACGTCAAGATCGTTGAGGCGCCCATACTAATAGTAGTGAGCGGCTACGGACCCCAGCGATCTCTGGGTCGTTTGGACCACGCGACGCACGATGAACCTCCACAAAGCGCTGAACTCTGTTGTGGAATACACGGCCCACCTGAGGTATGGTGGGCTCGATCTGGACGCTCACATTGGTACACATCGCTTGGGCTTCTACGCGCGAATACCAAGAGCGGGAACGTCGTTGAAGCCAAGGTCCAGTCTCAGTGGCAACGCAGAGCGCCGTTGACGCACGACACAGGCTTTACTGTTAGTATGTCAATATTTTGTTTGCTTGGCCCGCTCTAGCGAGCGCTCCGAACTTTCATCCTTTGCGTTCATGTGACTGTCAATGAAAAGAACACACATTTCACGGAGTATTAGGTAGACATGGTCGTTGTGGGGCTGTAGATCACGGACCCTTCTGTGTCGTTTGGGCCACTTGTCATACGGTGGGCCTCCACAAAGCGTTGGATCTCGTCTAGGTTTGTCGTCATCACCTCATCTTCGGTGGGCTCGATCTGGACGCCGACATGAGTACAGCCCGCAAGGGCTTCCAGGAGCACACGAACACCGTCGATACCAAAGTCATTGGAGCACAAGTCCAGCTTGAGGGGCGACGCAGAGCGCCGCTGGCGCAAGGCAAACGCGAGGAGCGCGGCGTCGTAGCCGTCGAGACAAAGATCCGTCAACCGTGCCATCGTGAGCCCACGGTTGATCAAGCGGCCGAGCGTGCGACTCAGAGCAGCGAAGGAAGCGCCGACCGTGCTACAGCAGTGCAGCGTTATCTGCTTGAGGCCCGACACGTTGTTTAGGTAAACGAGCACCCCATCGAATGCCGAGGGAGTAAACTTGACGCAGCCGAAGTAGACGCTCTCCAGGTCCGGCCACTGCGACGTGTCAGTATCCCCAAAGTGAACCCACTGGAGTGAGAGATGACGCAGGCTCGTCATGCGTGGTATGAGGCCGAGGACATCCGAGATCTCATACTGGCAATGCAGTGCGAGGGACGTGAGCTTGGTAACGTCCACGAGCTGCATGAGCTGACGCATGGCCTTGGTGTTGGCGGTCGCCAGCGTCAGCTCCGTAACGCGGTGCAGAGGCAGCTTCCACTCAACAAGGTCGCAGAGTATATCGTCGTTAGCGACAATATGGAGACCTCGAAGCGACTCGGTGGTTGCCAGTGCGTGCGCAAGCCCGTTGCAGTCGGTGGTCGGAACCTTGTTGAATGACACGTGTTTAGCGTGGCCACTCGACAGCCAGGGCTGCAGCAGCGAGGCCCAGTTCATCGCAGGAGCGCCAGAGGATCTGGCAATGTCGAGCGTATGCACGCAATGGGCGGACGTCGTGATGGCGGCGAGAATAGCGGGGGCCGCCGCATTCGCGCTCAGTTCGATCGACCGAAGGCGCGTGCAGCGACTAAGCTCGCTGCAAAAGGCTGCACTGCCGACTTCTTCCACCCACCTACCGTCCACATGGGTCATCTTGAGCGGCCACTGCGAGGCAAAGTCGAGAAAGCCTTGCGCGGGCGTGATGGCGTCGCCTCGAGGTCGCATAAAGCGCTCAACCAGCTTGAACTCCTTGGCGCAAATGGACACGAGAGCTGGGAGCGCCGCATGATAGAGTGCAACCGTGCTGTCGTCGTCGCAGTCGATGTCGTCTAGTCGGAGCGTAGGCCACGTGTACGCCAACGGACCCGGTCGCGTCAGCAGCTGCAGGAGCGCCGCCAACGATGCGTCCAGCTTGGCCAGTGGTAGCGCCTTCAGAAACGCCATGACATTGGGCGCCGACTGCAAGCACTGGACAATCAAGATGAGGGCGCATGGGCGATCGAGCACAGCGCCAGCCATCCAAAGTCTCGGACAATTGAAGAATGTCGACCAATCAAACATGGGCAAGATTTGCTACCGGTATCTCGTAACATCTGGTGTGCGCTGTTGGACGGGCCACCATCGTCTGCGGGCTCCTCTTTGGGTGCACGCAGAAGCCGGCACAAGAGCCATGTGGTGCAATCATGGGCTGAGTGTGTGACGTTTCGGGTTGGGCTGCCAGAGCAGCCATACCACATGTCGTCCATTTCTGAGCACCAATGTTTGTTTCCAACATTACAACTGTATAGTCCAAACACGGGATTTGCTTCCACGTTGCAATTGCGCAGACTAAGGCTCCGAAGCGACAACGTGGTTGTGAGCGAGTCGATCTAAGGACATGTATTTCAACATCGAAGATATACTTCACAAGCAAAGTCAAAGTAGCCACGAAGGTCAGAAACACGCTTTTTCACGCTATACCCCACTTTGCACCACCGAGATCTTATTCCAAATGAAGCAAATCGTGTGCAGCGCAATTATGCTTCTAAAACCCTCGATGGACTATAGAGCGCATAGGAGGACGCGTTCTCCAAGACGGACGACATGCCATGGGCGGCCAAGAAGGCTTCGATTTCTTCTTCAAAGCAATAAGGGGAAATGTCGATCTTGATGCAGACAGACGCGCACGTCGCGAGGGCGAGTAGCAGCGTGCGGATCCCGACCATGGTAAAATCATCGCCCATGACGTTGAGCGTGAAGGGCAACAGATTCCGACTTCGACGCAGCACAAGTGCAAGGTGGGACGCATCCACGTCGTCGAGCGCCGTTGACTCGAAGCTGGCGAGCGTGAGTCCGTCGTTGATCAAGCGAACGAGTGTGCGGGAGAGGCCGACAAAGGGCCGGCACAGAGTGTAGCAATGATCAAACGACATTTTCTGAAGGCCTTGCACGCGCGCGAGGTAGGCCAGCACAGCGTCGCGCGCACCGCTTCCAAAGTCGACGTCGCAAAACTCGATGCTTTCAAGGTGCGGCCAGCGCGACGCATCGTCCGCGTCGGCACCGAAGAAACAAAACCCGAGCGAGAGGTGGCGCAGTGCCGGCATGTGCGACACAAACAGCGTCACAGTGGCAAAGCTGGCATAGCAATCCAGCGCAAACGACGTGAGCGAGGCCAAAGCACATAGTTTTAGAAACTGACGGAGGAGCTTGGACCTGTGCGTACTGAGATGCAGCTTTGTCAGCTGATGCAATGGCATCCGTAGCGCCAAGAAGGCGCGGATGAGCGCGTCGTTTTCGAGGATTGCGAGGCTTCTGAGCGACGACGTGGTCGCAAGTGCGCGTGCCAGCCCCGCCATATCGGCTGCTGGGGCTTTGTTGAACGAGACATGACGCGCGTGGCCACTCGACAGCCATGGCTGCAGCAGCGTTGCCCAGTCGAGCGTCAGCGTGCCCTCGTACGCAAGATGCAGCTTTTGCAATCGATGGGCTGGCGTTGTCATGGCGGCTAGCACGGCGGCTACCTCCTCGGTCGCAAACAAGGTGACGGACCGGAGGCGCGTGCAGCGACGCAGCAAGTTGCAAACATCGTCGCTGTCCAGAGTAAGTGGATATCGTGCGTTCGCAGGGAGCGACCACCGCGTGTCGATGTACGTCAGCTTGAGCGGCCACGACGCGACAACGTCGGCCAAGACCATTGTTTCGGGCGCTGACATTGACCAATGGGTGCGCTCGGTCGCTAGCTCCAGAAGAGAGACTAGAGCCGGCAGCGCCTCGAGAGCAAGCGCCGCGCGGTCGCTGTGGAGGTCATCAAAGCCGAGATGCGGCCACGTGTGGACGAACGGGCCTGGGCGCGTCAATAGCGCCTTGGTCGCTGCCAGTGGCGCGTCCAGCGAGGACGGTGGCAGCGCCGA